GTGTGTATATATATATATATATATATATATATATATATATATATATATATATTATAAAAACTTTTTACAAAGTTGGTTCCTCACACCAAAACAAGGACAAAAGTCCATATAAACATGTCCACAAATCCTTTGTTTTTTTTGAGTTAAGTTTAAAGGAAGTTTATGGTAGATGGCACTGTGTTGCCATGTAGACAGCATCTACCATAAATTTTAAAATTTTCTGCCCCCAGCTATGGAGTAAATAGAGTAGACTTTAGCTCTTTAGCTGTGGTTAGCAACTCTGAATTAAAACCTGAAGCTATAGAAAGATCGTTTGATATAGGGTGCAGATACTGTGTGTGTAAAACAAAAATACAATAGATTTCAGCAACTATGGCTGATCCCTCTGGAGAGCATTTATCCAGAGTATTGTTGGCATCAATGAACATTGTCTAAAGAAGTGTTTATTGCTTGTGGAATCAGTCAAGTATCCTGCATTATTTACAGAATAATTCTTAAGCCAAAACAATGGATTCCATATAAATTTATGGAAGCAGACATCACTGCTGATATGGAAAGTTGTAAACATGTGGCACTGTCCTTGTAGCTACTCAAAGAATTAATGGTAACTGATTAAAAAAAGGTACCAGACCATAGGGATCAGGCTACAGTCAAATAGAATGGCATAAAACTTGATCTCTCTGGCTTTTCTTAAACATCTCAAAGCAGTCCACTATTCCCATTGATGTAACAAAAACACTGGCACTCATTATTAGTGGCAGTGCTTATTGTAATGTGAGAAAATAAGTGACTAATATATTATTTTCTCATGCCACAATATTTTTTTTTTTTTTTTTTTTTTTTTTTTTTTTTTACAAAAAGTTAATCTGGGGATATTTTTGCTTTGCTTGTCATGTGAGAATATCAAAAAAATTTTATTAATATTTATTCTCATTTATTATTGTTGAAAAGTTATAAAATATCTGTAATTTATTGGTGTCAAAAGGACATGCTAAACACAGAAACAACTTGAAATTGTTTCTGTGTTTGTTTTTAGAGTGTCTTAAGTTTAAAGCCTTTGTTTTAAAATTTTGCCAACAAACCTGGTACTTTGTTTTTAAAAAATACTAATATTCATGTGTACATTACAATCACACACCTAAATGTAGAGAAAAAAAAAAGTTTAAGTCACTATACGTATCAAACTGAATATTACAAATACATTTTTCTTTACAATTTCTTTTTATTTTGTTTAAAAAAAGACATGAAAGTTTGGGTATGCGTCAGATGGTTTGCTCTTTCTGAGATAAAAATATGTCAACACTGATAGAAAGGAAAAAAAAAAAAAATTTCTGATACTATTTCTGGATATCTATTTAGTAAAAACCTTTTGGTACAAGCTTTGCCAAAGTTGTAATTTGTTGGTGCCAAAGAAAATAAAAATAAGAACTGTATCATCTAACAAAGCAAAGTGCAAAACAGACAAATATGAAATAACCCCATCCACCCTTAGTTTAATTAAAATAATTTGTTTATCTCATCCTCTTTGGTGGGGAGGTGCTAAATTTAATTTTTAATAACAAAAATGAAAAACAACTTTGAAAAATAGGTTGATGGAATTAAAGTTGAACAGAACTGCTTATGGTAACACACACTCTTGGTTCAATTCATTCATTGCTATTATTAATTAATCCAAATCTTTCAAGATAGATTTTTTAAATGTATTTCAGGGTTTTGTCTTTTTTTTTTTCACTGCCCTACAAAAATGCTAATGTCCGTAATTTTGAGAACTACAATTGGAAAGAAAGATTGTAGTGTCATGTTTTTGTTTGTTTTTTTTTTTATCAAATTTTAATAAGAATTTAGTCTTGGAATCAAATCATTTCACCTATTCTCTTGAATAGTCAGTATTATTGTATCTTTTATAATTGTCATATTGTAGTTTTGACCAAGGAAGAACTAATGCTGCCAAAATTTTTAGATTAGAAAAAAAACGTGATGGTTTGGGGTCTTTTCGAATAATTCCTATTTGACCAAAACTTTTATAACTGCTAGGAATTGATATTATAAATGTATCTCATTCATCTCTCACCCCCTTGGTTCTAAGTAAGTCAAAATCTCCAGTCTTTTTCTGCAAGAAAAATAATGCAACATTTTTCTAAGGCTTCCATATTACAAAAATACTTTTGGTAGGACTAACAAAAAAAAAAGAAAATCTCTATTTATAAGCATGTTTGTTTTGTCTTTAACAAATTCCAAATTTATTATGAAAACTCCTACAATATCACTGCTCTCATGTATTTCAGCCAGTGGATGTATCTTTGGCAAGATAGCTTAACAAATCCTATTCCTCTTTAGGCTGATTTTGAATTCAGTTTTGTTTTTCCTAGACTAGCTACCCTACCAAAATTAAAGTGCCTAGTCTGCCCTATTATTTTCAGTTTCCCTTCTCCTAAAGTGGCTACCACCAAGGTCTACCCTGCTATTTAATGACTAGATAAAGATGGATTCATGCTGTAGCACAAAATGGCAGTAAACAAAACAATTTAAACTCTGCATGTCAATTCTGCTTTCCATACCAATAACTGCTACACATATCGCACCATATAACTAGTTTATCATAATGAAAGTTGAAATTGGTATTTTTTTTAAAAACACATCTAATACAAAAAAAAAAAAAAAACAGTTCAATTTGTTTCTCTTCTCTGTGCTCAATGAATTAAATGAAACTTATCCCAAGTTCTGCCACTAAAACCTAAAAAGAAATACCAAATTTTTTTCTTATTTATTTATCTATTTTTTTTGTTTTGTTTTTTTCACACCAGTAAGTGTTTATCTTAAAGCTTATGATAAAGTATAGGCTAGACATACTGGATAAGGTATTCTGATCAAGCCCCTGATCAGTCGGAGACTAAATTCAACTGATAATAAAGAAACACTATACAGGCAAACTTGAAGATATATATGTCACTTCTCGCTTGTGGAACTCTTCTGGCTTCTTGCTTCCCAGTCAACTTTCTTCTTCAAAAATTTAAATGCTATGTCAATCATTTTTTGTCTTAATTCTTGTTCTTTTATTGTCCTCTCCCCTTCCTTAATGGTAGTTTTTCTCGTTATCTGATACTCAGTAATGATAAAGCCCTTTCATCTGAGTGGCTTTATTGCCTTGATTGAGGTGAAATTATTTTATGAGCGAGAGGGGAATCCTACAGAGAGGAGAAAAGCTAAATCCTCCTGAAGCTAAGCCTGTACTCACACAATCTCCTTACCTTACTTGACTTAATGTCGTTTCATGTTTGTGTTTCTGTTTCAAAAATAAGAAATCTCTATCGGTTTATTTACGAGTTACAACATCATTAGTTTTATTGTTCCAGCGGTTTCACAACCACCCTCTCTTTCCTCTTCTTGTTCACTTCTCGGCTGTATGTACCCATGGAAATTGAGTTGACCAAATACAAGAAATTGGTAATAGAAAAAAAAAAAAGCAGAACAAATTTGATTTTTTTTCCCACTGAAAAAGTTTTTTTGTATAATTAATCTGTGTAAAATGCTGAATAATAGAATTCTGTAACAATAGTGAATAACATTGACTGCTTAATAATCGAAAATAAATAGCGACTAAAAATCGAAGTTGGTTCAGTACCGGCCGGCTTCAGATGAAAACCAACTCCCACCTCTGGGTTTGTGCAATGGCAACATTTTTATAACTGAAAATAAACAAATAATTTTTTTTTAAATTACTATTTTTATTTTTTTTTTATTTTATTTTTAATCCTTGCGAAATGCATTCTTCAATGAGAAGTCGATGAAATGTTTTTAAAAATCCAGTCGATAGAATAATTGTTAAAGAAAAGAAGACTTCTTTAACAAAGATGAGGAGAGTCAGGAAAAGAGAAAAATTGGCCTCGCCTGAGTCTCTGATTCGTCCCCTTCCACTGCCGCTTTCATTGCTATCAATGAAGAATTTTCATATGGCTTAGGCTGGCATAGAATTCATTTAAGAGTCTGTCTGTCTGCCTGCCTGCCTTTCCTCTCTATTTTTCTCCACCCTATTATTATTCGCCTAATCCCCCTTCCTCGTCGCTTTTTAATCTTTCGTAGTGCCAGACTCTCAACTGGCTGGTGAGGGAAACGAATACATCTTTATTCACTACAAAAACAGAAGAGGTTTCTAATGACACTACTTAACTTTCGCAGCTATATTTGTTACATAGGAAACCTAACTCTATTTTTTTCGTTATCATCCAGTAGTACTAGTCTAAGGCTTGTTATCACAAAGTCCCTTTCTGTATCAGAACTTATGTCTGATTCAAAACTCAATTGCTAAGTGTGTTCCGACGCCTTACAATTAAATGGTCAGCAAGCTGGACTTGTACATCGTTTGCAGTGTGTTCAATGATCGCTAGATTCTCCTTATTTGTGGATTTTTGCCAATGGCTCCAAATACGCTTTCTTTTTTCTTTTAGTAATAAATAATAATAATATAAATTTTGAAGTGTTCTGTTTGTTTTGAATCGTTAAAAAAAAAAAATTAAAGTACAAAAAAGAAAAAAATTGCAACTTTTAAAAAAACAAAACTTTATTTTATTATATAGCTTTTTTTTCTTTCTTTTTTTTTTTTAGCATGTTTTGAATTTTATGAAATTTAATTGCTTTTTTTTCTAGCTAGAGTTCCGTCTGTAATAGAAATAAAATAATTGAAATTTATTATTGCCTATCTTAAAAACTACATGTTTTTCTCGTTATAAAAATAAATAAATATTGCAAAAATTCTTTTTTTTTTCTCTCTCTCTAGTCTAAGTATTTTATTCTTCTCTGATATTTTTTCCGTGTGACTATTATTTTTTAGTCCCAGTAGGAAATCAAGAACAGAATGTCAGTGAATTATCTACTTTTTTCCTACCTCTTTATTTTTTTCACAAAGTATTTTTTCTCTTTATTTTCACAACATATTTTTTTTTTAATAACTGAAATATTTTTTTGAAAGAGAACCGATAAAGGATGGTCGTGCGCACGTGTTGATGACGATCGCTAGGTGGCGTTGTCGTTTGTGCTTTACTGCTGCATATCATCCTCCCCCCTCCTTCTTTCCTCCATCATTGGAGAGGATCGACGGCAAGCTAGCAGTACGCAGCCTTACACTTTTCTCTGAGCCATTTTTTTCTCTCTCTCCTTTCATTTTACTCTCACTCCCCCTTCTTCGTCAACAAGACCATCAAGTCAAACAGGCAGTCAATGCCATAGTGGACATGTTCTCTAGCTGCTGATTATTATTCTTATAACTACATACATAGGATATCTACAAAGAAAAGTAGAGTTAGCATCATTTGAGCTCTAAACCAGAAGTAGTTTGCATGAGAGTCCTCTCTTTATAATGGTAAGTGTTTCCTCCTTAAATATATTTTTTCTTTTTTACCGTCCTCAGCCCGCCCACCCACATCACTTTTTCCTTTTTTTTGTTGTTGTAAATAATTATTCAAAAACAATTTTTTTAAAGAAAGAAGCAATGGTTTTTGTGTAATTAATCTTCAAAACCAGTTTTGTTCTCTTAGGATTTCATTTGTTTTTTGTTTTTTTAATTTTATTCTTTTCTCTTATTCTTTCTGTTTCTTTTTTGGTGTGGATTTCTTCCTCAGACTTGACTTATTTTTATCATGTCTCTTTCTCATTCATCTCTACCCCCCCTCATATCTTCCTTCAGGAGAAAGTATCCTGTTTCATATTTGTCATCTTTGGCATTTCGTTCAGACAAAGCTTTTCTTCATCATTGGTTCCTTAATTTATTTTACTCTCAAAACAACAACAATAAAATAAACGGATGCTTGTTTCTTTGCTTTGTAGTAAAAATAATCATTCGGTCAATATCCGCATCACATTTTCCTTTCTTTTAAATTTAATCTTCATAATTTAATTTCACTCTTTATCGTAAGAGGAAGATTCATTAGTAATCTTTTTTTTTCTTGTGCCAATTTTTGGCCTTTATTTGTGTCGACTTCGTTCTTTGCATTCATTTCTTACTCTTTCCTTAACCAGCGTTATCATTTCTGTTGTTGATGGTTTTAAAATAATTCTTGAAAGATTTAACAATCTTCTCCCCTCACATACTCATCTTTTCTTAATTATCCAAAAATCATGTGTATTGCCAGTTAATAGCAGTAATGTTGCTAGTTTTATTTACTTAACTATCGATAAGTCTTTGTTTAACATGCAGCACCCAACCCAAATAGAATCTCTCCTTGTTCAAGTTGTGTACCTAACAACTACTAAAAAGAGGAGGATTATATTGAATATTGATATTTTACGTGCCAAAATTTCGAATATACTTAAAAAATGTGACGGTCAGAGTGTACACAAGAGAGAATATTACTATGTTGTTTTTGTTAATACACCATTATCATTGTCATTGACTCCCAACAAATATTTTTAAAGGGACATTTTCGTGGCTTTTTTTTTTGTTTGTTTCTTTCTATTTTCAATCTTTTATTTTTCTTGCTCTATATTGCTTTTTCTACTTTGTCACCAATTATTTTATTTTATTTTTTAGGCTGGGCGGGCTATTTTTATTTTCCCCCTATTTTTACCTTTCTTTTCCAACCCACATACCAACAACTCTACCGTGTCTATAATTTTGTTATTGCTCTCAGTAATTATGTATCTGCTTGTGTAGTAGTAATTTTGTTTATTATTGTTGATGTTTAATTATTATTTTGACTTTTTATTTTTTTATTGTATCGTCTGTTTTGTCCGCGGCTTTTTCTGCTGCTGGGGTCAGTTTTTTTTTTTTTTTTTTTTTTTTTAAATGAAACCGACATCACCTCTTTAGCCCCACGGCCAAAAAAAAAGTGACACACGCATTATTATCCCATATGCACGACGACGAAAAAAAAAAGTTATTTCGACAAAGACGTCCACCAGTTTTTTTTAAAGTTTAATTTTGCTTCTAAACTTAAACAAAAGATAAGTCTCCTTAATAAACCCTTTAAGATACTTTTTCTTTAGTTAATATTTTGCTTATTGACAACAAAATTAGTCAAAAGTAAAACCTCACATCCCAAAAACGATTTTCTTACAATGAATAAAAAAAAAAAAGCTCAGTGACATTGGCTTAACAAATTAGATTAGTCGTGTTATGTCAATAAATCTAATTTGTCATATTTAAATTTACTTGTCACTATTTAAGTAGGATAAAGAAGAAAAAAAATTTTCTATACACAAAAAAGTTGGTCTCTTTTTGTTTTTTTAACGTTATTTTTCTTTAAATCATTCGCGTCTCTATTTTTTTAAGTTTTCTTTTTTTTTTCTTTCTATTTATCATAGATCTTTCTTTCTTCTTTTTTTTTTTTTTTTTTTTTTTTTTTAATTATAACAATGGTTGGTAATAATCTCCACAGGCAAATTTTAATAAGCTTTAAATAAAATAATATCATTGTCTCAACAAAAAAGCGATAGGATTACTAGGGTTACTTTCTGAACGTGTCCTTTTACAAATTCGGCATACCACTCCCACATCCCCCCCACGCTTTATAAAATAAAACGAATCTTTCTTTTGAGTTTAGTTTAACAACTGAACTCATTTGCAATATGAAACTCGCCAAAATAACCATCTATCCCGACAGCTGCTTCTTGTTTTGTGACTGGGTGTCACTCTTGTGGGCAAATTGATCTGCACATGGAGTTTGACACCGTCATCGTCTGAGGAGAGGGATTTAACCTCGTTTAAAATCTGGCCTCTTTTCTCTCTCGTTCTTGTCGTTACCTTGTCGGGTTTTTACTCAGACTGTCAAGTGTCAACGTTGTCTTCGACTTTTTTTCAATAACGACTGGCTTATTTATTTATTATTGGAAAAGCACGACGAATGGATTTTAAGGTTGAGATGAAATTTTATTTTGAAGCTGAATAATATTTGCAATCAAATATCATGATTTCTAATATGAGGGGAAAGTACAGGTGGCTGGTTGAGGTATATAGTTTGTTTTTTGGGGTTTTTTTTTTTAATATCAAAGATATTTCTCTAGAGACCATTATTTAAATTTAAATGTTTTTCCTTCTATAACGGATTTTTACGAGATCTTAAAAAGTCGAATTTAAATCACTCAGCAGGCGTAACCATTTTCGACAATATCATCGATTGAAGTAAAAAAACTAGTTTAAATAAAAACATTTTTACTCGAATTTAATAAAAAAAAAATCCTTAAAATATGTTGGGTTAATTGCTAATATCCGAACACAATCCTTGTTTATGTGAACTTTTGAGTACTAGTTTCCACATTTTGTAGTACAATAAAAAAAAAAACGAAAGAAGTAAAACCGCCTATTTCTTTTGAAAATTGTTTAAAGTTGTTATTTTTAATGTCGATGGCATAAACATGTGGCAAACATAAACTTATTCTTGTTTGTTCAACTTTTAGCGCTTGATTATAATCGACAGTTCAGTAAATAAATTCATTCTTCCTTTACTTTGCATTGTAAAGTTTACAATAACTTACATAACTTGATGGTTACAGGTTAAATGGACACTAACAATTTCAAGGATTGCCATAATTTCTGATTTTATGACTTTTCTTTCTATTATTCAAGATAGTCTTTCTTAGTCTCTTTTATTTTTTCCCTACAATATACACTTATTTTGGGAAAGCGTTTGTGAAAATGTCACCCAGCCTAAAAAAAGCTAAGTACGGATTGGAAATATTTTTAAAAGAAATTCTTGTTCTTTTTTTATCATTTAGTTAGTGCCACGAAAGAGCTCGTAAGTAAATTTTTGAATTTCCCTCCTTTAAAAACTTTTTTGGGTAGTTACAAATTTCAACTTAAAATAAAAATTAAAAAAAATAATGATCGCATTTTTCATTTATTTATAAGTTACTTGTAGTCGAGATATTTAAGTTCACAGTATTGTGTTTCTACTGCTTTGGTTTCTCTCTCGATAATGGTTTGGTATTCGTAAAAGAAAAATGAAACCAACCCCTGCACCATCAGGTGCTGTTCTTGCTGCTTCTGTTATTTCTATAAACAGCATTTTATATATATATATATATATATATATATATATATATATATGCAGCATAGCAGTCAGGTAAGCTCCAGTTGGGCATTCCCTTAGAAAGGCCATCATTAAGTAATTGAGGAGCTGTATGTGAAGCACTTGGTGTCATCATGCCTACTGCTTTATATAGTTTCTCGGGTTTCCTGCTTTGTCAAACCCAACCCCTTCTGAAAAGGCATATTTGCCATTCTCTTGTTAATGTTGCTTTCACTGCCGCTGTTCAGAGGGGTTCAACAAGTCTCTCTTCTCCACCCTCCATTCATCGTGCTTTGACATTTTTAAAGAATCAAGTTTTCTTGAAAACCCCTCTTTAAATACGTGGTATGTCAAACGATGTATTGTCTTTTAACTGACTGTTCATTTGTAAAGAGTTCAGAATACAATTTTTTTATCCATTCCATAGCCTACTCATAGGGACTCCTGAATTGCTTGCCCTGTTAAAAATAAACAAAAAGAAAAAGATATGAACTTGTTCTACATTTGCTGATTACTTACTTTCCGTGTGTGTTACTGTTTGGCCTTGTGTACTAAAGAGGTGTTGGAATTAGTTGATATTATTATGAATAAAAGTTCTGCAGGTCTTGACTCATCACATCATTTTTTTTTTATTTTTATTTTTTTTTTTATAAGATTTAACTTTATTTACACACTTAAGTTTATTATTCAAACAAGTATTTTTAATGACTAATTTTAATCCTGTTGAATCCTTCTGTGTCTTAATTTGTCAATAAATCTCCTTTTCATTCGATCTGGTATTTAACTTTCTGTAATTGTCTATTATTAAGATAACTTTTTAGCATACAGTATTTTGTAATTATTTTCAGAAGATCACTACTCTATTGTCTTCAGTTATAGCAGGATGAGGAATCAGACTGCGGTAATTTAGTCATGAACTTTGATTACATCAGGACCAAAGTAGGATTTTGTAGGTCATAGTTTTGAAATCTATAGTAAATGAAAAAAAAATGCTTCAAATATGAATGTAATTTTTAAAACCACACACAAATATTACAAAGAAAAAAAAAGTAATACTTGAGGCATACCAACTGAAAATAGAATTTGTAGAATAAATTTGAACCAGTTTTTGTTCTGTTGCTTTTTTATGACAACAAAAAGAAAATATAAGATTCTTCAATAACTGAATCGTTTTGCCAACTTCTAAAGAATGTTTACCAAGGGAAAAAAATGCTTTGCACTCCATGACCTATTCTGTCTTAAAATGTTTTTCATTTCAAGAGTTATTTTCTTGATACATGAATTATCAGTTTCTTTTATTTAAGAGAAACAAGTATTTTAAATGACAATCAGTACTGACTATTAAAAAATATTTTTG